TCAGCTGTTAGACCTTTTATTAAGACGTGTGTGTCTTTCCAAATCATACTCATTCAATTGAATTTGCCACAGGTTAACTTCACTCGAAGTGTAGTAACATCTACAAGCGATATGAATGCTCCTGAGCTAAATTTCAGCTGTCCCAGATAAGGGTTTGAATACTTATGCAATGGAATCATTTAAGTTTTTTTTTTTAAATAAATTTGCAAAGATGTTAAAATCAGTTTTTTGCTTTGTCAATATGGTGTATGAGGCAGCAACATAACAAAACATGGAAAAAATGAAGGGGTATGAATACTTTCGCAAGGCACTATATATATATATTTTTAACTCTGGAAATTCAATGAAAAAATATATTCTCTATGAAACAGTCATGTTGTAATGTCTGTGTTTGTATAGTGCAGTGAATGAAAGGTGTTTCGTGTCGTTTGATTATTTTCTCTTTTCATTTGGATTTTGATGGACCGTAACCACTTAAACTGTCTGACAAACAGTTCTTAATAACAAGCTCTTTCTCGTCTCATCTTGTGCTGTAAATCTGCGCTCGTGTCTGTCGTCACACTGTATATACTGTAAATTGCTCTCAGCGGTGTTGATGTTACAGTGAGACTCGTCTGATTCTGTCTGTGATGATGAGTAACGAGAGTTCGTTTGTGCAGCTGAATGAGCTCAGTGAGCAGAACAGGAAGTTGGAATGTGAGTCACGGAAAGTTCAACCTGCAGGTACGAGACAAGCACTGTGTTTTTAGTACAGTTACCACTGAATAACCAAAAGATTGGAATAATTTAGAGTTTAAAATGTTTCTGAAAGTCATCTCTTCTGTTCACGAAGGCTGCATTTGTTTGATCAAAAACATGTAAAAATTTTGAAATATTATTCTAATTTATAACAGCTGTTTTCTATGTGAATATATGTTAAACTGTAATGTATTTCTGTGATGCGCAGCTGTATTTTCAGCATCATTACTCCAGTCTTCAGTGTCACATGATCTTCAGAAATCATTCTAATATGCTGATTTGCTGCTCAAGAAACATTTCTGATTATTATCAATGTTGAAAACAGTTGTGCTGCACAATATTTTTGTGGAAACTGTGATACACTATCATTCAAAATTTGGGGTAAGATTAAAAAAAAAAATTATAGTACTTTTATTCATCAAGGATGCAGTAAATTGATGAAAAGTGACAGTAAAGACATTTATAATGTTGCAAAAGATTTCTCTCTCTCTCTCTCTCTCTCTCTCTCTGATGTTTTCACTCAAGTCAAGCTATTCTGTATCTGATGCATTGCAGGGATCAAAATAATTACTTTTTTCTGCTGGCCCCTTCGGTAGTTCTGATTTGAACTTGCCCTACCATTATTTTTAACTGTATTTCCAATATTTCAAGCATTAATTTCTTTTACTAAATAAATAGGATGCATTAAATTGATCAAAAGTGACAGTAAAGACATTTATAATGTTACAAAAGATTTCCATTTCAAATAAATTTTGTTCTTTTGAACTTTCTATTCATCTGAGAATCCTGAAAAATAAAACATATCACGGTTTCCACAAAAATATTGTGCAGCACAACTGTTTTCAGCATTGATAATAATCAGAAATGTTTCTCGAGCAGCATATTAGAATGATTTCTGAAGATCATGTGACACTGAAGACTGGAGTAATGATGCTGAAAATACAGCTGCGCATCACAGAAATACATTACAGTTTAACAGATATTCACATAGAAACCAGTTGTTTTAAATTAGAATAATATTTCACAATTTTTACAGTGTTTTTGATCAAACAAATGCATTCCTGGTGAGCAGAAGAGACTTCTTTCTAAAACATTAAAATGTTAATTATTCCAAGCAGTGGTGTAAATATTCAGGACAAATGAACTCTCTTGTGTGTTTGTTTTTGCACAGAGAAAGTACAAGTCCTTCACGACACACAGGAGCCGAGAAATGGCTGTTCCTAAAGCGTACGACCCCAAACCCAGCAAACCAGAGAAACCTCCATCAAATAAAGCAGCAGGCAAAGTATGTGTGTTCTGTGTTTGGTTTAATGAGCGAGTGACGCGGCGCATGTTGATGAAGCTGTTTACACCGCAATCAGCAGCGCTTTCCTGCCACCTGTGATTGCAGCGTTCAATCAGAGGAGTTCTGTTCATTATAAAGCATGCTGGGAACTCTAATGAGGACCAGTGTTGGGGAAAGTTACTTTAAAAAGTAATGCATTACAATATTGCATTACTCCATAAAAAAGTAACTCATTACGTTACTTAGTTACTTTTTATGGAAAGTAATGCGTTACGTAACTAAGGAATTACGGTACTTAGTTACTTTTTATGGAAAGTAATGCGTTACGTTACTAAGTAATTACGCTACTAAGTTACTTTTATGTAAAAAATAATGCGTTACGTTACTAGGTAATTACGTTAATTAGTTACTTTTTATGGAAAGTAATGCGTTACGTAACTAAGGAATTACGGTACTTAGTTACTTTTTATGGAAAGTAATGCATTACGTTACTAAGTAATTACGTTACTTAGTTACTTTTATGTACAAAATAATGCGTTACGTTACTAGGTAATTACGTTACTTAGTTACTTTTATGTAAAAATAATGCGTTACGTTACGAGGTAATTACGTTAATTAGTTACTTTTTATGGAAAGTAATGCTTTATGTTACTAAGTAATTACGTTACTTAGTTACTTTTTATGGAAAGTAATGCTTTACGTTACTAAGTAATTACGTTACTTAGTTACTTTTATGTAAAAAATTATGCGTTATGTTACTAGGTAATTACGTTAATTAGTTACTTTTTATGGAAAGTAATGCGTTACGTTACTTTGTAAATCTGGGCAGGGCTTGCTTGTTTGTTTTTAATATAAAAAGTTCTTCTTTTACAAATGTAAAAGCACTTTCACAACAAGAGTGAAATGAATACGTCTCAGGCTGAAGGAAATGTAAATTCTCGTCTGTACAGTAGAGGGTGCAGCATGAAGAATATGACGCAGAAGAGAAGAAAGTTCAACACTATTCAGCAATAACTAAAATGAAACACAAATGTGTTATTTTTGCCTATTAGAATGATTAAAATAGATAATCGAAGGTCAGTAATACAGTAAGATCATGTTCACACACAACGCTCTGCACTTACTCCTGACTTCTGTGACCATGGCAACACCAGAGCTGTCACTCAACACATGGAAACAAAGTAACTCAGATATTTCCTTCTAAATTAAAAAGCAATGTGTTACTTTACTAGTTACTTAAAAAAATAATCTGATTACTTATTATCAGCCGTTGCTGAAGCTGCTGGCGGTGCTGTTGGATTGGCTGGTGGACGGTCAGCTGATGGAGGTCAGAGACGGGCCTTCACCGCAGGAGAGATGTGCCAGGGTCTGTCACTTGTGTTTTCTTATGAACAGACACTGAGATTGGCTGTGAAATGTTGACGGGATTCATGAAAACACATCCAGATCACATTTCACAGGCAGTTTTGCATGATAAAAATTAAGCCTATTTTTAAAACCATTGATTTCTTTATATCATGACATTTATTTTCATGTTAATGAAACACATTTCCTCTATTCTCATTACTTTGATGTGGAAACCCCTCGTTCTCATTACTGTAAGGAGTCCAGATGTTTCACTTGTGTTTGTTTTGTTCATCTAATGAGATTCAGCACTGATTCATTAGACTCGTTAGATTAACGGATGTAATCGGACACGTTTCCGAGTGATATAATGTACGGTGGGATTGATTTTACTCATTAGGATTTGATTGCTAGTTATTTTTTCCAGCCACACATAAGCAGAAAAAGAGCTTCATGAATGATTATAAAAACAAACATTTTTTTTTTCTTTAGGACAAAGTAAATTGAGTCAATTCTGAGTTCATGGGTTTTGCAGCATTTTTTTAAACTCCTGTTCCATAACAAAAAAAAAAATATATATATATATATAATTTTGACTTATTTAGTTTTTATTACTTATTTGTATTTATATTTATTTATTTACACTTCAAGAATTACTTAATCTTAAAAAGGGTTCAATTATGTTTCACTAGTTACAGTGATGGCTTCAGTAATTTTAATGACGGGATCAAAATGAATATTTTTTTAACTCAGGTCACACCAGAGTATTTTTTTTTTTATTATTATTTTTTTTTATAAACAAAACAACTGTTTACATAATGCTTATATATCATAATAAAAATGAAGAAAAAAACAGATAAACTATTAGAAATATTAAAAAATCCCTTACAGCTGTTGCAGCAAATGTTAAAACTAACATCTGATTCAAACATTAAAGGAAATACAGTAGAAGGAAATAAATAAAACTACATTTAAGGTTTAATTACACTTCAAGGATTACACTCTATTCTTTTTTTTTTTTCTGTTTTTGTGTCCATTCCATTAAAGTAGGTACATACAGTTTTACAGTAATCATCTTACTGGCAACCATTAATAATGTATCTTGAATAATTGCATGTTTTGAATAACGGGAATTTGCTAAACTGGTCTGTGTGAAATCCATCAAGTAAAAAATACAATGGGATTGTTGGTACATTCCTTCCTAAAATTTTCTTGATTTCCCTTTTCACCCACTGCAAAATAATTAGTGTTTTTGATGTGCATTGTATTAAATGAAAAATAAATGTGACCTTGGAGCACAAAACCAGTCATAAGGGTACATTTTCTCAAATTGAGATGTATGTATCATCTGAAAGCTGAATAAATCAGCTTTCCATTGATGTATGGTTTGTTAGGATAGGACAATATTTGGCTGAGATACAACTATTTGAAAATCTGGAATCTGAGGGTGCAAAAAAATCTAAATATTGAGAAAATCATCTTTAAAGTTGTTCAAATGAAGTTCTTAGCAATGCATATTACTAATCAAAAATTAAGTTTTGATACATTTACGGTAGGACATTTACAAACTATCTTCATGGAACATGATCTTTACCTAATAT